GGTTGTTTGGTGTCCGGAGTGTGAACACGCAAACAGACATTGAAAGAGAGTGTCTCTGACCACCACCATTCATAATTCGCAACAAAAATTTAGACCACAGCATGTGGTGCAGCAGCCGCTCGAAAACGATCCGCCGACTGCAGCACCACTGTGGGCAAGATCTCGCGAAGTTCCTCCAAGCAGCGGATAGTTCAGGGTTGTTTGGTGTCCAGTGTGTGAACACGCAAACAGACATTGAAAGAGAGTGTCTCTGACTCCCACCATTCATAATTCGCAACAAAAATTTAGACCACAGCATGTGGTGCAGCAGCCGCTCGAAAACGATCCGCCGACTGCAGCACCACTGTGGGCAAGATCTCGCGAAGTTCCTCCAAGCAGCGGATAATTCAGGGTTGTTTGGTGTCCGGAGTGTGAACACGCAAACAGACATTGAAAGAGAGTGTCTCTGACCACCACCATTCATAATTCGCAACAAAAATTTAGACCACAACGTGTGGTGCAGCAGCCGCTCGAAAACGATCCGCCGACTGCAGCACCACTGTGGGCAAGATCTCGCGAAGTTCCTCCAAGCAGCGGATAGTTCAGGGTTGTTTGGTGTCCAGTGTGTGAACACGCAAACAGACATTGAAAGAGAGTGTCTCTGACCACCACCATTCATAATTCGAAACAAAAATTTAGACCACAACGTGTGGTGCAGCAGCCGCTCGAAAACGATCCGCCGACTGCAGCACCACTGTGGGCAAGATCTCGCGAAATTCCTCCAAGCAGCGGATAGTTCAGGGTTGTTTGGTGTCCAGTGTGTGAACACGCAAACAGACATTGAAAGAGAGTGTCTCTGACCACCACCATTCATAATTCGCAACAAAAATTTAGACCACAGCATGTGGTGCAGCAGCCGCTCGAAAACGATCCGCCGAGTGCAGCATCCCTGTGGGCAAGATCTCGCGAAATTCCTCCAAGCAGCGGATAATTCAGGGTTGTTTGGTGTCCGGAGTGTGAACACGCAAACAGACATTGAAAGAGAGTGTCTCAGACTCCCACCATCCATAATTCGCAACAAAAATTTAGACCACAGCATGTGGTGCAGCAGCCGCTCGAAAACGATCCGCCGACTGCAGCACCACTGTGGGCAAGATCTCGCGAAGTTCCTCCAAGCAGCGGATAGTTCAGGGTTGTTTGGTGTCCGGAGTGTGAACACGCAAACAGACATTGAAAGAGAGTGTCTCTGACCACCACCATTCATAATTCGAAACAAAAATTTAGACCACAGCATGTGGTGCAGCCGCCGCTCGAAAACGATCCGCCGAGTGCAGCACCCCTGTGGGCAAGATCTCGCGAAATTCCTCCAAGCAGCGGATAGTTCAGGGTTGTTTGGTGTCCGGAGTGTGAACACGCAAACAGACATTGAAAGAGAGTGTCTCTGACCACCACCATTCATAATTCGAAACAAAAATTTAGACCACAGCATATGGTGCAGCCGCAGCCGCATCGTGGACACCTTGATACTTCAAGTATCTATCGTCCGGGGCCACCGCCCTACCATTTTTTTTTTCTTGCAGCGGCCAACCCCGGCAGTAAGGACAAAAAAAAGAATCGCGTTTTCTTTAATGTTTTTCCTGTTTGGGGGCGGGGATCTTTGTTTTCTATGATTGTCTCTTTTTTTTGTCTGTTCCAGGTTGGTTTTTAGGAGGCTTGATGTGCCTGCTGGGTGATAGCCGGCTTTTTTATTGGTGATTGCGTGTTTTTGGCTTACCGGTGTGCCGCTCAGCGCCATTTTGTTTTACTTCTTTTCTGCTTATTGGGGCGTGTTGTTATTCGTCACGCGTCAGCACACACCGAGCAACATGTCAAAAAAAAGCAAAATGCAGGCTTTTTCCCCCCTCGCGAGGGCCTTCGCAGCCACAATCCTGTGCGTGCGTGCATTCTCAGCGTTCACACCGCTCCACAGAGTATGCATAATGGCGTGTGTGCATGTGCCTGTGTGCATGTAAGTGCCTATACTGGCGGAGCAGCTGTGCGCCACAAGAGAGTCTGAAGAAAGCAACGGCAGAGAGAGGCAGATAGCACACACGCAAATTACTCATATCATCACACACACACACACACGCAGCCGCGGAATGGGTGCACTCAACCACAAAATCAAAAAGGAAAACAAAACAAAAAGCCGAAGCGTGGAACGACCAGCGCACACACACTCTCATTGCTCCCGTAAAGCAAAACACACACACAGAGGGAGAGAGAGAGAGGTTGCCCACTCAATGCAATGGAAACAAAACAGAAACAGTTACGGTGCTCCGCCCATGCAGCCAGGCAGGACGGCAGCGGTGCGTGTCGTGCAAAAGAGAGCACCAACGGGCCTGCATGGGTGTGCATGCATATATACAATGGGCACATTATTGTGTGTGCCTCGTGGGGTGAGGTGAGGGCGAGAGTCCATGCAAGGGGACACACACAGAGAGTGATTGAGAGAAGGACGAGTGTGTGTGCGGGCGGTGCATGGCTCTCTCACACTCACTCTCACGCGGCCACCACCGCAGCAGCAGCCGCACACGCAACAAGAAGAAGAAAAAGAGGGGAGGTGGTGTGGGAGACCGCGGTGCTGCCGTCACTGTCGCCAGGCGTTTGAGTGCCTTCGGTGTTCGTCTTATTCGGTGCTTCTTCCGGGCCTAAAGTTGAATTCCTTTTCTCTTTACTGACAGCCGGCATCCCCTCTGAGGTGTTGTCATCATCCTTTTCTTTATCCTCTTCATCTTCTTCCACCCCATACTTTGCTTCTTCTTCCTTGGTGTTTTTCTCACTTTCTTCTTCCTTTTTATTCTCTTCCCTTTCCTCTGCCTTCTCTCCCTCTTCTGCATCCTCTTGTTCATCGTCTTCCTTGTGATTTTCTTCTTCCTCTTCGCTGTCATCTTTCTCCCCACCTTCTTCTTCTTTCTCTTCTTTGGCGTTTGTCTCATTGTGTTTTCCTTGAACTAAAGTTTCTCTTGCAGGCGGCACAATAGCAGGTGCAGGATTCACTGACGTCTGTTCACTTGCCACTGCTGTTGTTTTGCCTGTAGATGCTTTTCCTGAAGTCGCCAGTGTTTCACTTGTTTTTTCATCTTCCACCGTGTTGGGATTCTCTTTTCCACCACCTTCAGCAGCAGCAGCAACAGCAACGGCGGAAAGTTGACGCCTCCAACGGCTGCGGCCATCCACAACAGCATGCAAACTCTCCATCACCTGACGCACGCATTCCTCGACGGAGGACGCATTCGCACGGCCTCCTGTCCTCATGCCGACCTCCTCTGCGCATTCCGTCCGCAACCGCGTACGCCACTGCAACGGCAAATACTCACCCGCACTGCCATCGCCACCGCCAGCTCCATCCGCTGACAACACCGCCACCGCAGCACCACAGCACGCAGAGGGCACACACCAGCAACACACGGCCAGTCATCATCATCGCCATCACTCCCGTCACTTGCGTGCAGCCTTCAGCACAGACTAACATCCTGTCAGCGCAGAGCAAAAGGAGAGACAGAAGAGAGACAATTCACGCAACAAATGGCACGATTCCAGCACCGGCAACAGCAGCGCACACACCATGAGACAGCTGTAATCAGTGAAAGGGCAAAAACGTACACTGCCCCGCAGCAATTAAACAGTAATAAAACACTAAACAAGTAAAAACAAAGCAAAAGGAAACAAGAGTAATAAAGTTAGAAAAAAACAAGAGCTGCATTAAATGGCTCCGGTGCAAATGCGCGCATCCAAAGATATGCGCCCATTTAAAAAATCCTGTGCTTGTCATGCATATGAGTATGTCCGCGATGCGTTCAACGTGACGGATGTGGGGCACAACGCGGAGCACACAGCAGGGCAGCAGGGCAGCAGAAGCAAACAAAGCAAAAAACAATCGTTACTCTTACTTTATACATCGGACCACAGTGGACGCACACAAATCCTCGTGGCTGAGTGCTGGCACGCACAGTCCGCACACACCTCTTCAGCCCAGAGTGGCGTACGCCAGCGCGGATACGACGAGCACCAGCGGGGCACACACCCACGCAGAGCTGCTGAGGCTGCCGTCGATTTCGCGAAGACGTGACGGTGCGCGAGTGGTCGTCGTGGTTGGCGCAGCGGTTGTCGTGGTCGTGGTTGTTGCCTCTGGCGCAGTGGTGGTTGTCGTTGTTGTTGGCACCTTTGGTGTATTGGTAGTCGTATTTGGTTTTATTTCAGTACCGGCTTTTTTAAAATCCGTCGTCTCCTCCAGCGGACTCGGCGCACTCCCCGGGGTCGGTGCCGTAGCGGTTTCTGTATTTCTTGTATCTGCATCGCCCATCGTATTTTTTAACCCTCCCGCATTGGACGCAAGTTGCAGCCCTTCTGAAGCGGTCCCGCTTGCTACCCCCGGCGTGGGTTTCAAATTACCTGTTGGTTGTTCCGTTTCCGCAGCATCCGTTAACGTTGGCGCGCCTGATTCCGGCGCTGCCTCGGTCCCCGGACCTTCTACAACCGGCTCCTTTGGCGTAGTGGGATTTGGAGTCGAACCACTAACTGTGCCCTCTTCGCCCGCTATCACCCACACAGACGGGCAGCAGCACAGGGCGAGCACCAACAGGGCGCACAGCAGACGGCACGTCATCATCATCGTGAGTGTGGTCGTTCAGTGGTGTGGAGCTGATCTGCACAGTGAGGGACATGGAGAGCAACAGGGGAGACGAGAGGTGCGGCAGACACACACAGAGGGCACACCACATGAGGAGAGGGCAGCAGCCAGGCATGCACCGTACGCCGCACACCACGCACGACACACACTCCAATCCACGGCAGCAGGCACACACACACAGCCCTGCCGCAACACCAACACACAGATGGAGGAGGGAGAAGCAAACAGGAGCGGCACAAAAGGCTCCATCGCATGCACATACGGCGAGAGCGGTCCGTCGTGTCGGCACCCCTCACGGAGGGTACGCACACACACAGGAAAAGGTGCAGCGCACACAGCAACACAAAAGCAAAGTAGCAATAAAAAGGAGTGATCCCCGCACACCACGTGGATTGTTGGTCCACGGGAAGTGCAGCCAACATTCATCACAAAAACAGATCGGTTGCCATTGGCCCTCGTTCATATTCAGTGCACACGACTTCACGCAGGCCTGGGAACCACCGCAGCAGAAGACGCACACTCAAAAATATAGGCACAACTAATGGAATGAAACAGGCAACCATTTATTTGTGTTTCTGTTTGAATGTTGGCAGATGTCCGCATGCGTTTTTTTCTCGTGTTTTGCAGAGGGCAAACCCTCATGCCTGGATCGTGTGTTGGGGATTACTGCAGGGTGCACAATTATGTTTTTTCCCTCCTGTGAATGTTTCTTGTGTTGGTGCGGCCAAGAATTCGGTTTTTGTTGTTCCTGCCTTTCGCCGGTAAAGTGTTGCAATAAAGAATAATCCTCCGGGCCGCTGGCCAAATCCCCAGTTTCTCAACCATAAAGACCAAACAAGGTAGGAATGAGAAAAGGGATCAACGGAATAAGAGTGGATTCACCAAACCCTCAAGGCTCAACACCAGGCAAGTGTATGCTTATATATACGTATACATTCTTTAGCCACAATCGTGGCCCGCTCACTCTATTCGGATAGGATGCATATATTTATTTATTTATTTGCTGCTTACGAGGTGGCAGGCCTTTGGGGTGCTGCAGCCACAAGACCCCGCCGCGTGGTGGGAAATCAAAAAAGGGGTTGGGTGAGACGGTAAAATTAAAAAATAAAAATAAGTCCGGCCGCTATCGGTTCCCTGATGCCCTTAAATTCGTGGCCCTCACAAAAATCATGCGGTAGAAAAGTGTCGTAAAGAAGTGTATGTTCGTTTCATCGGGGTACATATATACCATTCATTAATTTAGCCGGCCTCCTAAAAGGGCTCAAGCACACCCACAAGACTCCCAGCAAGAAAAGGAAAACACAGCGTGGCTGGCACGACTCAAAGTAATGCTTCTAAAACAAAGTGTGGATGACTCCGCCGACGCCACACCCGCACCACATGCCATCAACTCCTCCACGGCAGGAACAAAGTTGCAAGAAGACACAAAATAAAAACGCCACGGCAGCACCGCATCCCTCACAACGTCGTCAATCGGCCTGAGGCCTGTCGTCTCGGATCCACCTAGCGTACACCGTTCCTCCGGCATTTTTGTTGAAAAGCGGTCATCCACAAGCCGCGATCCGTCGGTCACACGAAGAGTGCAGGCAACAGGCATGTCTGTTGCACCCTCCATCGCCCGCACAAAGCGTCGAATTGTCGTTGGCAGGAGTGATGCTGTTTCTGCTCCACGCGTCTCCATCTCCCTGGAAAAAGAGACACGCCGACTGCTGCCACCAATTCCTCCCCCGTCGCCTCTCTCCTCCTCCACCAGCCCATAATACTCCGCAGAGTTGCTCACAGCAGTGTCTCCACTATCCCGAACGTGAAACGACTTGAAATTGTTCTCCCTGAGACCCAAAGCGACCAAACCAAAAGCGAGCCGGACATCCAACGGCTGCACTGGCCCAACCCCACAAAATTGCAACAAGTACACAATGACGGGATCACGATGGCGACACCGCAGAAAAATAGGGTCCACTGCGGAGATTAGTTTGTGTTGCACACAGTTGCGGTGTCCCTGGAGTTCTTGCATCGCCAAAAACAAAATAATCCTGCAGCGTGCGGAGATGACGTTTCACGAGCGCATTATTGGCGGAGCCAAACAACTGCGCCGTCAGCAGATGGCAGCGAGCGGCGGGGGAAAATGAAGGTGATGGGACTGTTGGGGAGGGTCGATGCGCAGTGTTCCCCACAAATACGAGGCGGGTTAAGTGAAACACACTCGCCTGAAAGTCACCGGCCACCAAAATGCATTGCTCCCCGCTGTTAATATTGATGAGCTCGAGCCTGGAGCAACTACTCTCAATGCGTGAAAGCGTCTTCCTGCACTGACGCCGCAATTCACAATAGACGGGCAACTTCAGAACAGTCGATACCCGGCAGTAAAATGCAGCTGGCAGTGGCGCTGTGGATTCTCGATTCCCCGGCAACGGAGGACGGAGAAGACAACTGGTCTCCCCAGCTGCGCGGCATCAATCCATCCACTCTGTGCGCTCGGAGTGCCCCGCAGCTGCCTTGAGAGATGCAGCGGACAGGCCTCCGTTAGTTTCGCCTCGATCCATCGACGAAGACTTTCGCGGAGGCGTCGGCACACACCGAAGTCTCCCTCGTGTCTACCAAACAAAAGACGCACCCGTTGAGCATCGTCACGTGCATCGACGGCCACGCAAATAAATACCCACCGCAACGCAAAGTGTTTCTTATTGGGCACAAAAGAAAAACTGAAGAAGGCGGCCTGGACAACACAGACATCAAATCACACGCCAGGCAACGCTGAAATACATGCGAAAGGGCCAACGCGGGATGAGCAGCACAACCACTCGAGAGCTGCTGCGTGAACTCCACGGTAAACGGATCAGCCTCAACGCATGGGCACTAATGACGGCGGGTGACGGCGCGAAGGCCAACGGTTCCGCAAGGCCGGGAATTGTGAGGACGGCGTTCAAACCCTCCCGGGATTCGTGTGCCAAGACACGCAAATAATTCGCCCCTGGGTGCAAATCGTCACCATCCTCATCGCTGTTTTTGCCGTCATTTGTATTGTCACACTCAGAGTCGGTGAAGGAAGATGCTGCCATGATGATTGTGGCGTCACACTGAATGAAAGAACAGAATGCCTCGAAGGGTGCCGAGTGCAGGCATACCATCAGGCAGCGACACGCCGCACTTTTGAAGAAGCCAATAAAAGAACTTAGAAAATGCCTTCATCCGTCATCGTAATCTCGTCCAGCGGGTGCGGCCTCTTCTGCTCGTTCGGCATCTCGTCCCTCTCCAAGACACCAGCTGCCGCTGCCGTAGACCACTCTGCTGCCGCAATCACTCCCACAGAGGGACAAGGAAGAGTGTGTGGATGCGTGCCGAGAGCACAGCAACTGCCATTGCCGGAGGAATACAACGTGGCACCGTCCGTCACGCGTCAGCACACACCGAGCAACGCACGCACACGGCAAAACAAAAACAACGAGGAGAGAAGAATGACCCCAAGAGCAGGCAGCACCTTCACGCATGGCGGGCATCGTGCAGCCGCGTCAGCCGGCCTCCAGCACAATGCGAAAGGCGTCCCACACACATCCATCCAATGGCACCGTGATTCCCACCGCAGGCACACACGCAGCGACCTCGCCATCTCGACACGGGATGCAAGCCAACTTCACGCCGTCGTCAAGAGCATTCCTGCAGAGCACCGTGCAATCACTTATCTCTGTGTGTGATGGAGAAGCAGAAAAGGAGAGGAGCACAAGGAGGCACATCAGCACAGCGAATGGCACAGCTGGATGGCAGCGATACATGCAGCACGGCCCAACTTCAACAATCACACACGGTGGCAGCACACCCATCGAATAAAAAAGAAAACAAAACAAAACAAAAGAAAAGAAAAACACGGCGGCAGGGTGTGGCTGTGTGTGTGGCGCTGCGGGTGTCTGCCCGTCCTGGCCGCAATAAAACAAAACAAGAGGGAAAGAAATGTGTGCGCCGCCCCACAGGCCCTCGTCGCACGCCCACACGTCACGGCTCCCTCAGCGCGCCGTTCGTCGCGGCCCCTCCTCATGCGTGCAGCAGGCGAGGCGCACAGGGCCGTCGTCGTGAGCGTGTCGGTGGGTGTGCGAGTGGAGCAGTTGGGCGGAAACACACGGCACCCTCACAGGAGGAGTGCAGCAAGAAACAATTAAAGAGGGAAGAGTAGAAAAGAAAAAACGTCCATAGTGATTGCCCCCGAAAGCAGAAAAAAAAAATTAAATAAAAATCACAAACACATAAAAAAGGATTTTGAAATAAGAAAAAAAGCAAACAGGAAAATAAATTTAAAATACGCAAAAAAAAAAAAAGAAGGTATCAGAGATATTAGTTCCTATGGGAATATTATTTCTGTGCTCGCGAGGTCGCAAGTATTCCACGCGGCATCCAATCACTCCTCACAGAGCCGCAAGCCTCCACAGTCCCAACAGAAGAAGAAGCAGCGATGGTAGCAGTCCGCTCCCACGCATGCTGCCGGCATCACTGTTATTCCCCTGCGGAAAACTTCCGAGGTTGCTGTTGAGTGCCGTAGCATTTACTTCTCTGACCTGTGGATGGATTCCCTCTTCCTTCTGCGCATCCGTTCCTTCTCTTTTCTCCACCGTTGGGTCGCCATCAGCAGTAGAACCGCCATCCACGGTTTGAGCTCCATCGGAAGATTTTCCTGACGCCATCTGCATTACGGAGTCCTTTTCTGCAGATGGAATACTGACAGTGGACGCCGCTGATGCGGATGCACCGCCACTCTCCGCACCACTGCTCCCCATCGGCTGCCCCTGTTCCGTCGGATGTGTTCCGTCGGGAGTGGACGAATTTCCGGTTTGCTGAGCAGTTGCGGCCACCAGAGGAGTGGGAGGCACAACGGAAGCAGAAGGAACTGGTGAAGGCGTCGACGGCTCCTCTTTCAAAGGTGAAATGAGGGCTTTATTCGGGTTAAGGACGCCAATCTCTTCGGAAGTCAACGGGCGGTTGTACAGCAGGACGTTCGTCACCGTCACAAGAACGACTCCACGGCTTCCCTTGCTCCCTGCGCTGCCTCCATCGCCTCCGATGTAAAAGTGGGAGGTCTCTTGGGATTCAGTGCTTCCCAATGCACACGATGCACCCACACCCACACGCTGACCATCGACGTACGCGGAGCTCTGGTTGCCGTTCCGTAGCAAAATTACCACGTGGCGTTTCGTCCCCGATTCCCAATTGCTGCTGTGCTCCCCAGAATTCGTTCCGTCACCGCAGAGTAATATCCACTTCTTTCCGTTGTTGTTGTACGACAGCCCCAGGAACACAGAATTCCCTGCACCCTTCATGTTCACACCCATCAAAGGAATAGTGTTATCTCCCTCCTCCGGCGCCTTGTCGATGGACACCGTCGCCACAAGAGTGAAGTTGTAGTTCGCAAAGTGGTACAGCTGATTCTCCCCCTGCTCGCCAACGGGCCACTCCGCCCACGCACCACGCCCTGTGAACTTCACGCCGCCGCCATGCAATATTGCCCCTGCTGCACCGTCCTTTACTGTGGCGTTCACCCCAAGGTACTCGTCCCTCCATGTGTTATAAGAGAAGCTGCCGGACAAAAAGCCAACCAGCCCATCCGTGATCTTATCAGTGCAGACACTGTCAGCTGAGGGATCCTTCTGAGCAAGTGAATTGATGCACAGCTGGGAGACACGGCTGTCTACATCCTTCCAGGTCGCCAGCACCTCCTTCACCCGCGTCAACTGCTCAGTCAGACGCACAGAGACCATACCGAGTGATTCCTCCTCATCGCCCTTCTTCTTCTCGTACAGTGCAATCAACTCTTCCTTCTTATCTTCACTTTCAGCACTTTTGTACAACAGGGAGCTGGCGGCAATCTCATCGTCTCCTTCCACAGATACCGGCCCAATATCAACAATGTGCGTATTGTCCGTCAGCCAAAGATGGAGTTTGCCCTTTTCTTTATTTTGTCCTTTATCAGTATCCTTGGGATACACCGGCAGAGTAACGAGCATCACTTTTTTATTATAATCTCCGTTTTCAATCGTTGCTGTGATGAACCCGCTTCCAACGAGTTTCACATTTTCCTTTCTTTTTTTGCCCCACACACGCGAGAGTGTCCCGAGTGCCTCCGTCCACGACTCCCCCTTGTCACCGATCTCGTACACCCTGCGGCGGCCATCACCACACGCAGTCATCATCATGAGTTTTTTGTCCTTCCACTCCACGACGGAGGGATCACTGCAGCCATCGGCAGACATCCAATTCGACAGCTTCCAACTCTTAGTATCCTGCAAGCATAGGATCAGCGAAACGGTCTTTCCATTCTTCTCCTTCGTGCCTTCCACTGGGAACACAAGCGTACCGTCATTCATCTTAACCCCCAATCCACCGCTGCCAATTAGACGCATCAAAGATTCGTGTTGTTGGCTTAAAAAAGTGCACGGGATAGCGTGAGTATCGTTCCAGTGTATGTTTTTGCCTCCTTCAGTACCACTGACGTGCCCTTTCACCAGCAAAAGTCCCCATGGAGCCGCGTCAGCCCCACCCTGACATCCGGCAGCATCTTCACGGCTATATTTCCCAACAAGCATGTAAATATCACTTCCCTGCACGACTGTTGTTGGTCGGCTCACATTTACCCTCCTCACTCCTTGGGAGACTACCTGATCCGCTTCTTGTGAGGCACAATTCTCTTCTTCGGAAAAACATTCCTCCAGCACTTGTGTCGTTACTGCAGTTGTGTCCAACTCTTTTGGGTTTTTTTGATCAGCCAATACCAGGAACTCCGAGGCAATCCCAGTAAAAACGTTCTTGCCGGCTTCCGTGCACTGCGCCTCGGCAACGGCAAACACGACACCATTCATCTCAACAAGACTGGGAACACGGAGCAAACCCACTTTTTCTCCTCCTTTCACGTCTCTCCAAACATAACGTTCCTCCTTTGAAGATCCCGAAGCTGACGGCACGTCCCGACTGGATGCAGCCCCACCAGTGCCGCAGCACATCATCACGACGAGGAGGAGCAGCACCGCGGAAGTAAACACACGCCGGGACATGTTGGGCCTCTGCGGCTCACTCTCTCTTCCTTCCCTCCTCCTTCCGCGGGATCCGGCCACGCGGCGACGGTTGTGTGTGCAGGGTGCCTTCACAGCAGCACGTGAGAGCATACAAATATGTGTGCGTGGGCGGTGTGTGTGCTGTTGGTCCTTTCAGTGCCTTCGAATTTCACAGTAGCGATTAGCGCTTGTTTGCTTTCCTAGCCTGAGTGTGTGAGAAAGAAATAAAGGAAAAAGAAAAATAAAAAGAGGTACAACAATGAACACCGTCACCCATGCACAGTGAGTGGCATCATCATCCCCGCCGCAGTCACTCCCACAATAACAACTCACGCACACAGACACACGGAACAGGAGATGGATGAACAGTGCACCGGGAACACACATCGACTGCCACTACCACCAGCAGCAGGAGTCACGGCGGGTTTACGTTATTTGCCGCGCCTCAGCACACACCAAAAACATGTCAAAAAAAACAAAGCGCAGGCTTTTTCCCCCCTCGCGAGGGCCTCCGCAGCCACAATCCTGTGCGTGCGTGCATTCTCAGCGTTCACACCGCTCCACAGAGTATGCATAATGGCGTGTGTGCATGTGCCTGTGTGTTTGGCAGCGCCTATACTGGCGGAGCAGCTGTGCGCCACAAGAGAGTCTGAAGAAAGCAACGGCAGAGAGAGGCAGATAGCACACACGCAAATTACTCATATCATCACACACACACACGCAGCCGCGGAATGGGTGCACCCAACCACAACAGAAGCAAAGATTCAAAACAAAAACAAAAAGCCGAAGCGTGGGACGACCAGCGCACACACACTCTCATTACTCCCGTAAAGCAAAACACACACACAGAGGGAGAGAGAGAGAGGTCGCCCACTCAATGCAATAAAAACAAAACAGAAACAGTTACGGTGCTCCGCCCATGCAGCCAGGCAGGACGGCAGCGGTGCGTGTCGTGCAAAAGAGAGCACCAACGGGCCTGCATGGGTGTGCATGCATATATACAATGGGCACATTATTGTGTGTGCCTCGTGGGGTGAGGTGAGGGCGAGAGTCCATGCAAGGGGACACACAGAGAGAGAGAAGGACGAGTGTGTGTGCGGGTGGTGCACGGCTCTCCCACACTCACTCTCACGCGGCCACCACCGCAGCAGCAGCCGCAACAACAAGGAGAAGCAAAAAGGGGGAGGTGGTGTGGGAGACCGCGGTGCTGCTGTCTGTGTTTTGTGTGCTCGTCTTATCAGTTGTGTTGGTGGTTACTGCCGTTGCTTTCGTATTTTCCCCACTCCCTTCTGAGCCCTTTTCTCGGTGGCTTTGTGTCGTGGCTGCGGTCTCAGGCGGCGGAACATTTTTATGACCTTCACTCGTGGTGCCTTCGCCATCCTGCTCGCGGGAATCAACACTGTCTTTTGGAGGAGGTGGTGAAGGGTTTCCTTCCACAATTCCCGCAGGCAGTGTGTTCTCTCCGTTACCAGTTGTGAGTGGATTCTCTACCGCTGGTGTATTTTCTTCTTTGCCATTCTTTTCTTCAACTTCCGTTTGTGTAGGATTGGATTTTGATTCCTGGCTGCCGGAATGAGAAATGCCCCCTGCAGGAGTAATTGACTGGTGATTTTCCTGCTCACTGCCACTTAAATTCGTTTCCCTGTAACCTGAGCCTGGTGCTACTGTTCCTCCTTGACCATCCTGCCTTTCTATTGGTTTTTCTTCACCTTCCGCCCCTCCATCTTCTTGGCCATCACCTTCTCCAGTATCGTCATCATCTTTATCTTCTTCTTCTTCAGCTTTAATTCCGGGAGATGCGGGTGGCACTTCTTCTTTAACAACTGGCGCCTCATCTTTTAATTCTTGGGAATCTAGTGGAGGCGTTTCAAGCTGTGTTGATTTCGGCGAAGATCCACCACTCCCAAGAGCTGCCGTCACCACATCGTCACATCTACCGCCGGCACCGCACCACAGCACGCAGAGGGCACACACCAGCAGCACACGGCCAGTCATCGTCATCGCCATCACTCCTGTCACTTGCGTGCAGCCTTCAGCACAAAGTAACTCCCCGTCAACGCAGAGTGAAAGCAAAAGGCAGAGACACGGCCGCTACTCCACGCACAGCAACGAGTGGCAGCACTCCAGAAACACGCACGTCGAGGCAGAGGAAATCAGTGCGATTGAAGAACTCGCACACCGCACTGCAAACCAGAAGTTAAGCAAGGAAAAAAAAAGTTGAGTGTCCGGCAGGACTCTCGGAAAGAATAAATAAAATTCATTCGGCAGGAGATTTATTTTATTTCCCAAGCGGCACAATAAGAGCATGTGTTTGTGTATACATATTGCCCGCATTGAATAAAAAAGACTTTACTCTTCCACCAGCCCACACAAAACACTCTTCACACTTCATTGCGGCATCCGGCCTGTTCCTCCGCTCCTCCTTTCGTGCAGTCCATGGGACGCACACCAATGAGGCCGGCACCGCGTGTGGGCAACAAAAAACAAGTAGGGGAATAAGTCACACATGAGAGTGTGAAGCAACCGACCAGTAAATAAAGGAACAGCAAGGACGCTCATTATTCCAGGAAAACAACGTCAAAAACAGTAAAATGTAAATAATAAAAGAAAATACGCATGCAACGCGGCACATGTCCTCCGTGCGGAGTCGCAAATCCACACTCTTCGGCTCACAAGTTCGCCACAACTCCACACAATCCCAGAAGAAGCAGCAACACCCAATACACGCACACACGCACAGTGCTGCCAACAGTCAACTCGCGCAGTGTCAATTGAGCGTCGTTGAGCGGGGCAAAGCAGTCGTGTGGACTCACACCGCTCCCGGAATACTGCGCGGTGAATTATCGTAATTGGGGTTTTCTTGTCCAGAGGCATTGCGTTGAGTCAATCCGTCCGCATCGCCCTCAGCAACAAATCCACTGCCTGCAACGCCATTTTCTAAAACAAGAGATTTGTGTCCGGTGGCGTCGTGCTCACTCACCTCGTCCGTGTTATCCGCAGCAACGTGTTCCCTGCCGCCATAAGTGACAGACATGATCCCGGATGCATTCGACGCCACTAATATTCTTGGGCCTTTGGCAAAGGAAGGCCTCTTCGTGGATGCATTCGGGACCATCACTTCGTTCGGATTGCTGGCAAACTCAGGCCTCGTCTCGGACGTGTTGGTCGCCGTGTTGGATGCGGGACTCGGATCGACGGTGTTGGGTCCGTCAGCCGCCGCAGACCGTCGCCAATCCTCGTTCTGACGTGACGGCTCAGCATTCACTTGCGGCGCAGTTGTCCCACCAGATTTTGTGTCATCCTTCCCTTCACGGGGTAGCGGCAACTGACGAATGCCCGTCCGGTCAGCATCGCTGCTCCGTGCAGGCGGATGGATGGCTCCATCGGGGGAAAAATTGACGCCACAACAATTCATAAGGGCCGGCGTATTTATGCGTCGTCACATTCATCGTGGAGGCAGCGGTGGCCCCTTCCTCTTCCGCTGCACAGCTGGCAGCACAGTTGCTACCTGTGTGCACCGCACTGGCCACATGGCACACAGCACCCAGCTCACCATTCCTGCCATGCATGCGCACACCAAAGCCACTGAAAGTATAATTCTCACACTCAGCCTCAGCACTGGCAGCAGAACACTTCTTCCACGCACACACACACACTCGACAGCTCAGGCTGCCGTCACTCGGAGCACACGACACATCCACCGGCACAACCACCGCATCCGCATCACCAAATACATCTCCACGACTCCCAGCAGTCGTCACGCACACGGAGCAAGCACCCACCACAACAGCCACACGCGCAAGTGCACCCTCATCCATCCATGACGCGGCAACAAAATTTCCTACCATCCCGCCCTCAGTGGGACACGGAGCCCAACTCAACGCAGTCACACGCGGTGCATCACACCCGCAGGAAATTAGACGCGGGGTGCGCGCTCCCTCTCGTCCCTTCTCCTCATGGCCACGGAAGAAGACAACAGCCACACGCAACTGCCAGCATGCACTGCAAAAGAAGCATTCAAATCCACCGCAATGTGCATCTTGTGTGTGTGTGTGTGCCTGCAGAAACACAGAGCAAAGAAGCAGAAAAGAGGGAGCAGAGTATGTGAAGGGACGCACAAAAAATGTACAGCAGAGACGCATGGCGGAAACAACAAGAAGAAGACCGCTCAAACTCATGACTGCACTGCAGCCCAAGCAGTGGCAATTCACACAATATTTATTTAAAAAAAAAAAAACGTCCCCTTCGTCTTATACAAACCCCATCACACAAAATAATTATAAATAAAAAGAAATCGTCCATTACTGTTCCACACACACAAATTTAAACAACTGCTGCCGTGTGGTCACAGCAAATTGTCTGCATATATTTTGTCCAAAAAAGAAAATTAAAAGATATTTAAATGTCTTTCAGCCGTCTGACCCTCCGTGTGTCCGCACATAGTTTATATTTCATGGAGTCATCTGCGTGTTGCTGCTCCCCTCAGCCCTCCCATCGGCGCGTGAGTGCGGTCCGCAGAGCACAGTCACTCGTGTGTGTGGGACTGAGAGAAGCACGCAGACATGACGGGAGTCGCGTCACTCCATCGGGAGAGTGAGCGCAGCAAAAAACCTTAAAAACACGGCGGCAGGGTGTGGCTGTGTGTGTGGCGCTGCGGGTGTCTGCCCGTCCTCGCCGCAAAGAAAACAAAACAAGAGGGAAAGAAATGTGTGCGCCGCCCCACAGGCCCTCGTCGCACGCCCACACGTCACGGCTCCCGCAGCGCGCCGTTCGTCGCGGCCCCGCCTCATGCGTGCAGCAGGCGAGGCGCACAGGGCCGTCGTCATGAGCGTGTCGGTGGGTGTGCGAGTGGAGCAGTTGGGCGGGAAACACACGGCACCCCTCGCAGGAAGAGTGCAGCAAAAACAATTAAAGAGGGAAGAGTAGAAAAGAAAAACGTCCATAGTGATTGCCCCCGAAAGCATAAAAAGTGTTGGGGGTATGATGGATTAGAAATAAAAACAGAAAAGAGTTTTTTAAAAGAAAAGACGCCCAATCGCACAACAAAGAAAAAAAGACAAATAAATTAAAATCGCACAGCAAAGCAGACAAGGAGAAAAGTTAATAAAAGTTATTTAACAAGAGAGGTTCATTACCAGGTGTGTGTGTCGCTGCTGGGGAGGTCGCATGTGTCCCACGCGGCAGCCAGTCACGCCTCACAGAGCCGCAAACCACCACAGTCCCAACAGAAGCAGAAGCAGCGATGGCAGCAGTTCGCTTCCGCAATGATTGCTGGCATCACCGTGTGCTCCACCGTCAAGAGCGGTACCTTCATCCGTTTCTCCTTCTTCCGCTGTTTGTGGAATAGAAAGTTTGATTGTGTTAAGCACAGTAAGCTCAATGTCACTCAACGGGCGGTTGTACAGCAGGACGTTCGTCACCGTCACGGACACGCCTTCTCGGCTCCCCGCGCTGTCTCCATCCCCTCCAATGTAGAAGTGTGATATCCCTTTCGAACATTTATCCTTCAAATCTAATGGCGCACCTTCCACACGCCTACCATCGACGTACACAAAGCCCTGGTTGCCGTTCCGTAGCACGATGGCCACTTGGTGTGTTTTCCCTGGCTCCCAATTGCTGCTGAGCTCCGACGCCTTCCCGCCACTGGACAAAAGTTCCAACTTCTTTTCTCTGTTGTTGTACGACAGCCCCAGAAGTACAGTACTCTTATCACCTTTCATCCTCTTCACACCCATCACGGGAATGGGAGTATCTCCCTCCTCCGGCACCTTGTCGATGGACACCGTCGCCACAAGAGTGAAGTTGTAGTTCGCAAAGTGGTACAGCTGATTCTCCCCCTGCTCGCCAACGGGCCACTCCGCCCACGCTCCCCGGAAGGTCACGCCATCGGAAGTCTTTGCTGCCTTTGCTGCGCCACCCTTTACTGTGGCGTCCACCCCAAGGTACTCGTCCCTCCATGTGTTATAAGAGAAGCTGCCGGACAAAAAACCAACCAGCCCATCCGTGATCTTATCAGCGCCGCAGGCAGTGTCAGCTGAGGGATCCTTCTGAGCAAGTAAAGTGGCACACAGCTGAGAGACGCGTTCGTCCACTTCCTTCCAGGTCGCCAACACATCCTTCACCCGCTGCAGCTGCTCAGTCAGACGCACAGAGACCATACCGAGTGATGGCGTATCCCCTTCGTCCTTCTTCTCGTACAGTGCAATCAACTCCTCCTTCTCATTACCACTTTTACTGCTTTTGTACAACAGGGAGCTGGCCGCAACAGCATCACCGGATACCGGCCCAATATCAACAATGTGCGTATTGTCCGTCAGCCAAAGATGGAGTCTGCCCTTTACATTTACTTCTTTATCAGCCTTATTAGCATACACCGGCAGAGTAACGAGCATCACGTTTCTGTTATCTTCAACACCGTCAATTGTCGCTGTGATGAACCCGCTTCTAACGCCCTTTTTGTTGCCCCACACGCGCGAGAGTGTCCCGAGTGCCTCCGTCCACGAATCCCCCTTGTCAGCGGACTCGTACACCCTGCGGCGGCCATCATCACACGCAGTCATCATCATGAGTTTGTCCTTCCACTCCACGACGGAGGGATCACTGCAGCCACCGTCAGACATCCAATTCGAAAGCTTCCAACTCTTAGTATCCTTCAAGGAGTGAATGATCAGAGAAACGGCCTTTTCATCGTTTTGTGCTTCACCCTTCTTCTTAGCGCCTTCCACTGGGAACAAAAGCGTACCGTCCTCCATCTTGACACCCGATCCACCGCCGCCAGTCATCCCTGTCCACGATTCTAGTTCGCCAACAGATGCCCGCGAGACATCGTCATTATCTTTCCATTTGATTCTTTTGCCACCGTCACTTTCATCAATGACTTCCCCTTTCACCAGCAACAATCCCCCATCATTTGCTCCGCTCTTCTCACCAGCAGCTGTCCGGCTGTATTTCCCAACAAGCATGTAAATATCATTTCTCTTCATAACTGTTGTTGGTCGGCTCACATCCACTTTCTTCCTTGGATCTTCGGAACCATCTTCCAGAAATTGTGTCTTATCTTTGGAATCCTTCAGAACTTCCACCGGTGTATTGGCGGTTTGTGTCGTGATAATTTGGGATGCAATGCCAGTAAAAACATTGTTTTCACCACTCTTTTTGCACTGTGCCTCGGCAACGGCAAATACGTCACTCCCCACTTTCAAAAGGCCGGGAACACCCAAAGACTCCACAGTTACATCCTTAGGGATGCCCTTCCATTCAAAATTCGGATCTGCCACTGACTGCTCCTCCACAACAACATGTGCAGCTCCACTGCCGCAGCACATCATCACGACGGGGAGGAGCAGCACCGCGGAAGTAAACAAACGCCGGGACATGTTGGGCCTCTGCGGCTCGCTCTCTCCTCCTTCCCTCCTCCTTCCGCGGGATCCGGTCACGCGGCGACGGTTGTGTGTGCGGGGTGCCTTGACTGCAGCAACACGTGAGAGCATATAAATATGTGTGCGTGGGCGGTGTGTGTGCTGTTGGTCCTTTCAGTGCCTTCGAATTTCACAGTAGCGATTAGCGCTTGTTTGCTTTCCTAGCCTGAGTGTGTGAGAAAGAAATAAAGGAAAAAGAAAAATAAAAAGAGGTACAACAATGAACACCGTCACCCATGCACAGTGAGTGGCATCATCATCCGCACCGCAGTCATTCCCAACAACAACAACTCACGCACACAGAAACACGGAACAGGAGATGGATGAACAGTGCACCGGGAACACACAGGGACTGCCGCCACCAGCAGCAGGGGTCACGCCTGGCACGTCGTTATTCGTCACGCGTCAGCACACACTGAACAACGCCCTTACAAAAAGAAAAACCAGCAGGATAAAAAAAACACAGCCGCCCTTCGCAGCACCGACGTGCTGCCGCCAGCCCTTTTACAGCTGTCTCCTCCAGAGCACTCGCACGTCACCCGCACAACCGGAGAATACCTCATCAACAGATCCACAGTGGGAAAGAAACGTCCGCAGTTACAGCTGCAAAGCGGGAATCAATCCGCACTCATCCCAGGCACCCCCACTGCCACATCACTCACTGGCTGCGCGCCGCAAACATAACAACAGCAACATGTCAACGAAGCAAATCGCATACTCCCGTACTCCCTTCTCGCAAGGAACAACCGCCGCAGCCACAATCCTGTGCGTGCGTGCATTCTCAGCGTTTTAAACACGGCATTTGTGTGTGCATCTGCTTGTGTGTTTGGCATCGCCTATACTTGCAGAGCAGCTGTGCGCCACAAGAGAGTCTGAAGA